TGCTGAATGTCCAGGAGGTGTGGGACCGGGCCCGACCTGAGATCAAGGAGATCTATGGTGAAAAAGGTCTGGCATCCTGTGAGTGCACTATAGACAGTGAGCGAACTAAACCTTGGACCATGATTAATGTCTCCAACACCATGAGGGTCTCTCCTCCTGCCCAGTAGAGGGTAGAGGGAAGTTAGCCTGTTCACAAAGTGGGGACCGTCAGCCTCATTCCAAAGGTGTTATGTGGTCAACATGTCACCTAGAGAAGGAAACCAAGTTGACTACGATTGGAACTACTATCCCAGCATTCTTTTCAAGAAGAAACTAAAGACAGAGAGGGAAGATGCCATGCACTCATGGCCAAGTGGCTTTAGAGAGGACTGGTTTTCCTGTGCTTCGACTCTGTCAGCAGAGACCTTGTGGAGGTCTTGAGGAGTCCAGCTATTCCCAAGAAGAGAGGCACGAGGTGGCTTACTGTGGGCCAATTTTTCTTGAGATAAGGATGAGCCAAGCCCCTGGGGAACCTGCATCGATTTGATGTGGGACTTAACCACTGTGGGGCCCAAGAATTCTTAGGAATTTTCCTCCTAGCATAGAGCTGTGAAAGGGAACAGAGGGATGTGCCACTCGATGAAGGCTGTTTTCTCATCCTCAACAGACCTGAAACTACTATCTTCACGGCTTTTGCCAGAATTCAAGGAGAATCTGTCAGAGGTGACAGACTGCATGGAGCATGCGCTGACCGCCTGCCACCCCCGCACCCGCTACTCAGCTGGCTGGGACGCCAAACTCTTCTACCTCCCCATGAGCTACATGCCCACCTTCCTGGGGGACGCCATCCTCACCTGGGCCTTCCCAAGGCTGGCCAAAGCCCTGTGAAGCCAGGACTGTGGCGCTTGTTTTGGTGGGATTGGATGCTGTGTGAGAGGGGATGTGTCCTGGGGAGAGAAATAGGGTGGAGGGAGGGAGCTGTCATGTCATCAAGTCACCTGTCCCACCTCCATCCTCCCCTCCTGGCCATGGTTCTCCTGGGATTTCATCCATGACCCCAGAGATGTTAGTAGGAAAGTGCCAACTTATGCAGCTGAGAAACAAGAATCCAATAACACTCCTGGTTGTCTTGTTGCCTTGGGTGGCCACTCAAGCCTCTGTGGTTCTTGGGATAATGGTGGGGGGATGACTGGGGATGGTGTGAGCTGGTGGACAGAAGTTTAGCCCACACCTTCTCTACCTGCTGCTGCCCAACATCTAAGTGTATGCTGTAGCCTGGGCAGTCTACACCCTCCCCCAAGGTGGAAATCTCTTGGATGTGGTCAGGGACCTCTCCAGCCTCTGAAGATACTCATGTACATGGGGGTGGGGACGGGGAGAAAACCATCAACCTGGTTCGTTGTCCTCAGGTGTCAATGTAGAAGGCATTGACGGGAAGGTGCTCTCAACAGGGATCTTTCCAAAGGACACATAACCAGTGTTTCATGTGACTTAAACCCATGAAGTCCCTTTCATTATGTTTCCCTACAAACACTTGATAAGTTCAGCCATGTTCAGGGATTTTATTCTATATTTTTCTGTTACTACCCAAATTCTTAGTAGTGGGATTTTAATTTCTTAGGTAAGCTACCCTTGAATTTCAGACATACTAGATGAAATCCCTGTCTGAGTCTGGGTTTCCTCATCCGCCTCAGCACTCAAATTCAGTCCTCAGAAATCTCAGTCTGACAGTCTCTAGGACTCCAGGGAAAAGGCAAAGAGAGTGGCCAAGGTCCCTCCTGATGCAGTAATTGACTGCAAACAGGAGGACTTCATCTCAAAGAATGAGTCTGACTCAGAGGCCAGGAAAGGAGACAAGGAAGAGAGTTATGGCTGGAAAACTGTCAGAAGGAAATTTCCAGGGTTTGTGGGAGGAAGGAATCAAATGAGTTACACAAAGCAGGTTTGATAGCTTTTACACTTCTGTGTCCTGAAGATACTCTTTTCTTAGCTTTGGATGGCATTGGGGAGTTGGGGTTAAGACCTATGGGATCAAGAGGCTGGTGCCATCTCAGAAGTCAGGGAGTGAGAGTGATGACCCGATGAGGGGCTTGAAGAGGACAGGTGGATTTTAAGCCCCTCCTGCCATGCAGGCCAGTGGCAATGTTTCCCTATGAAGGGGTTACAAGTGCTGGAGTCACAGGAATAGACAGAAGCACAGACAAGCAAGAGAATGGCAGTAAGGACTGGCAGGCCCAGATCCCTTCTCTGGGGCAGCTGGGCCTTCCCTCCCTCAGCAGCACCTGCTCTCTGTCCCCCAGATATCGACCCTCCCCTACAGTCACTGTCCTGCCCTAATTGCCCACCTTTGGATCCCCAATCCCACATCCCTGACACCTACCTCTCCAGTCACATGGAGTAAGAGTCATGTATGGACCCTCATCTCTCATTTTCTGCTCATTTATGCTGCACGCCTGTTGTGTCTGGGAAAATTCCCAGAATTCCCAGGGCTTCCTCAGAACCGACTCTGAGTCCTCAGTGTTCTGGGGTCGCTGTGAGGGTGGTCTCAACAGAGAAAGCACTAGGAAAAGGGGACACAGACTCCCGGGCTAAGGTCCCTTTGTAGCTGGGAGGCACCTGCCTATGTCTAGGTTTTCTTCCCTCAGTGTAACAGCTGAGGACATGGAGCCTTCAGGGGACCTTGTGCTGTTGAGCAGATCCATGTTGGGTGTGAAAACAGCAAGTGAGCTCAGATTCATGGAAAACTTGAAGTGGGCTACACTTGATTGGTGTGGAGCACGTCAGTGCTGAAACCGTGAGATGGCCAGGGAGGGTCGTCCTGGAGGACCAAGTCCCAAAATGCTGTAGGGTCAGACCACTGAGTGTCCTTCCATGCTACACCACTGAAAGCAAGACAACAGTTTCATATGCAATCTGAAGACACCAGCTTCTTTTTTAATATTAATAATTCTTTCTTTGTAAATGCACATTCACACACACACAACACACACACAAGGAAAACAAACTGAAATGAAATAAGAAGTGGGGATTCACTTGATAGCTCACTGGGGTGTTGTTCAGAGGCTAGACTCACCCCCAGGAGTGCTCTGCAGAGAGTGGGAGAGCTGTGAGGGTGCAAACCCCTGACCCTGCTGGGTTCCACTGGGAGGTGCACGTACCCTTAAGCTGGACCCCTGGCCCACATCATGGACTATGTATGAGCAAGGGACACCATTATCACCAGAGAACAAACATGGCCATAAATAATGTCTAAACTAAAGCAGTGCACGTCTCCACCCCTACCCCAAACCATCAGTAGAATCTCCCCTTGTCTTCCTCCCTGGCATCTATTATTAGTGAGGAAGCAGGTCACCTCCCATGGAGCTGTCAGGCCCTGGAGCCCAATCCCACAGAGTGCCGGGTGCCACAGAAGCTGCCTTCACTGCTTTTTGCTGCCCTGGTCCTCTCTGAGGAGCACCAGGCCATTCAGTCCCCACCAGAATCTGTCATCCCCACCGACCTCCTGATCTCCATTGCCTGCAGGGCATGTGGCCCTTCCTTTCTATGTCCCCACTGGAGCCTTAGACAGGCTGCAGCTGCAGGGCTTGACACAGGTTGCCATGAGCCTCCACTTCTTGTCTTTCCCAGCGTTGCTTTCTCTTTCCTACAGCTCCTCCTCTTCAGGAGGCCCATCCTAGATGGAGAAGGGGCAGAGGGCAGAGTGCTCCTGAAGCTGGAGACAGTGGTCTCCAGGAGGCTGAGCTGGGCTCCCCTGGGGGACTGTTCCCAGCAGGAGTCCACATGCAGAGACTGCAGGGCGCCACCAGGTGGCTCAAGTCCACCAGGGCAGCCAGGAGCTCAGAGGTGTGGCCCCAGAGCCTGGCCAACCTCCTCTCCCAGCAGTGCTGAGGTTGTCATTGTCACGGGGCTTGTGAAGGGGTCTCAGTGATAGGACTCTGGGAGTGTGAGTCTCCACACTATCCGAGGTTCCAAAGGATTTCCCCTTCTGCCCAAGTGTCCAGTGGAGGCCGTGTCCCTCTGTTGGCTGCTCCCTTGGGACTCCATGGATTGCTGCTGACTCTGCAGTGGACTGGGAAGCTCCTGCCACCCCAGCAAAGGGTCACACTGCCGTCAGGATGAGCAAGGGTCAGCAGTGGGTGCAACGATTGGGAAATGTGTCTGTTGATGCCCATTGAGAACTCATGGTTGAAGGAAGTGCAAGTCCCTGACAATATTCGGGATGTGTGACCTGGGAGGGGAGGGCCCAGAGCAGGAGGGCAGAGGGCAGTGTACCCAGCACCCAGGGCTGCGCAAAGGGCGTCTGCAGGAGGTGAACAGTAAACTCTGTGACACCTGCTTTGTTTGGGTTGTTCTTCTGCTCCCTCCCTGTGACTCTGGCAGTTTCTTTCCTGTGGGTTCCCAGCCCCGATCCCTTTCTCTCCCCTTTCTTCCCACTGAGGACTGACTGCCCCTTTGACATCTCATACTCCTGCTTTCCACAGACCTACTTTAACAGGATGGAACCTATTCCTTTTTTCTGTTTTCATCCTCTCCTTCCAATCCTTGAGAGACTGGCAATGACTTAGTTTCCTGGTTGATTCTAGTTCCTGAGCTGACATGGAAACCCAGGCTCAGAGAAGGATTTCAAACTACTGTGCCTTGAACCCAGGTGTGGCTTCCCAGTACACCTGGGTCTTCTCTGTGCAGCCCAGGATGTCACTGTACGAGATGTGCAGAGACAGTTCTGACCCTCCAGGTTAGATGGAGTGCTATGTGTGCCATGGTGTGCATGTGTGTGCCCTGGTATGGAGACCTGTGTGGACGCTCATGTGTGGGCCTGTGTGGACACAGCAGGGAAGAGTGACATCGGTGGACTAGGGAGGCACTGCTGAGTGTCCCTCAGTAATATTTCCTTATGGGCAGGACTGGAGGTCTTTCAAGGGCGTGTATCAGAACTTGCAACAGCAGTGCCAAGAGCAGAGGTGGGTGAGGCAAGGGAGGGCTCCATGCCAGAGTGCCTGGAGCTCTCCTGACTGACACTGGCATAGGCTTCTTATACCCTAGACTGTGAGTGTCTGTCTCCCCAACAACATGTGGCTGTACCTGGCTGTCCTCGTGGGCCTGTACTACCTCGTGCGCTGGCACCGGGAGAGGCAGGTGGTGAGCCACCTCCGAGACAAGTACGTCTTCATCACGGGCTGTGACTCTGGCTTCGGGAACCTGCTGGCCAGACAGCTGGACATGCGCGGCATGAGGGTGCTGGCTGCGTGTCTGACGGAGAAGGGGGCCGAGCAGCTGAGAGCCCAGACGTCAGACAGGCTGGAGACGGTGACTCTGGATGTCACCAAGACAGAGAGCATCTCTGCAGCTGCCCAGTGGGTGAAGGAGCGTGTGGGAGACAGAGGTACTGCCCAGATTCCTCAAGTCTGTTTGTGCTTTCCTCTGTGTCCCCCTCTCCCCGGGACAGGACAGGGTGTCCTGTCCTGTTCCTGGGGAGGTGCGCAGAGTGTTCCCAGGTTCAAGTCCTCCTAGCTGTCTAGTCTTCCTCACCCATCAGATCTCCCTGGGCTGGGGGTGTGCATGGGGGGGGGGCCACTCCATGCCAGAGCCAGCCTCATGTTCCCAGCTCTTCAGCTTGTCCTTACCTGGGCCACCCCGGTCCATGGAGACTTACGATCAACCCCATGTTCAGAGGACAAGAGTTGACGACTGGTGTAAAAAGGCAGATCTAGGAAGGGATTATTTTCCTTTCCTTCTTTTTTGCACAGCAACACCTTGTCTGTCTTGTTATGGAGGATGAAGAGGACATGGATTTCCTTGATCAAAGAATAAATGTAGAATATGATCATTGCCCAAAATACTTAAAAATATAATGATAGAAGCAAAGTTCATCCTCAAATCATCATCTGCACATAAACGTGTTTTACACTTTGCTGTAATTGGGATTATATTTTGATCACAGTTTGTATCACATTGTATTCTTTCAAAGATGAACATTTTCTCAACATACTCAACAAGTTTGTAAGACATAGTGTTTAATGATTTAGAATATTCTTTCCTTGATGCAGCCTTACTTATGTAAAGCAGAGCCAGAGGTTAGATATCGGAATTTTTTTCTACTTTTTATTCTCTTTGTTGTCATCATGGAAAACTTTGTTTACCTGTATCTCTATAAATGTGTATATTGACTGTGTTCTTGGAAACAGATAGGAGACCCTGGAAAAGGAACATGCATTCCCAGAAGTGCAGGTGAGGGACTTGGGTCTCAGGGCCAATTCTTCCTGATCCACAACAGCCACCACCTGCCATGGCTCAGAGGGTTCTCTGCTCCTGCTCCCTGAGGTGTATAGATTGGGAAGTGTGTTGACATTAATTCCTTGGGATTGTGAGTTTGCAACTTCCAGAGATTATTTTCCCAGGATTGAGTTAACCTGGGACTGAAGTGGAAGGAGCAAGGGTGGCTTTCTGGTGCCATGGGAGGAGGTGACACGTTAGTGAGCAGAGGGTGGAGTCTGGGGACTGGGCAGTGGGGTGAGTGGGTCTTGTTTCCCCGAAAGCCTGCCCTTGGAGTTCCCAAGAACACCCTGTAGGAACGTTGGTGAATATTGATTGAGGATGTTCCAAGGCCAGTCCCCAGATCCACACACAGGATTGTTTTCCACAGTCTCCCAAATGCAGGCTTGCAGGTCTGTCCCTCCCCACCAAATTCCACCCAGGTTTTAGCCTTGTCTGTATTTTTCTTTTGTGTTTCTCTCTTCCTCTCTCCTCCATCTCATGCTCTTCCTATTCCTGTCTCTCATATCCCATCAATACAGAGATGTTGAGCATTCACTGTAGGAGCTTTCCAGAAAATCTCAACGTTTAGGTGAATGTGCATCATGTCTTCAACGACCACATTAATGTGTAAATAACCAAACTGCAGTGTCCGTGTTTCCAGACTACTGGATGCACAATATTTCCCCAACACCAGCTCCTGCCACCATCGAGTGTGGGGTCAATGCCCGCAGTCAGGAGGCTGAGGGCGGGGCCAAGAGGAATAACAGGAGGAGGAGACGTGCGCTGTGTCCTCAACAGCTGCAGCTTGTGCAGCTCCCTAACCCTGCAGACACCGCGCTGTTATTAGTCTCTCCTAGTCCCCTTCCAGCACCCGCCACCCTGCTGTCACTCTGATGGGCTGGGAACGTGAACCCTAGCTGTGTCCACACTGCACAGGCACAACTCAGTGTTGCTCTCTCATCTTCCCACTGTCCCCAGGACTCTGGGGCCTGGTGAATAACGCTGGCATCTCTGTGCCCTCGGCCCCTAATCAGTGGTTAACAAAACAAGACTTTGTGACCATACTGGATGTGAATCTGCTGGGGATGATCGAGGTGACTCTGAGCCTGCTGCCCTTAGTGAGGAAGGCGCGGGGCCGCGTGGTCAACGTCTCCAGTGCCTTGGGTAGAGTGTCTATTACAGGTGGCGGCTACTGCATCTCCAAGTACGGCGTAGAGGCCTTCTCGGACTCCCTCAGGTATTGCCCTGGGATAGGGCCCTGCCTGAGTCCTCCTGTTCCTGGTCCTCTGTGGGAACATTTTGCCAGAGTTTGATTTCATCACAGATTTAGAGGCCCCTTGTTGGAGATCTCTCCCTCAGCCTTTTTGACCTTCCCCTTGTCTGGATTTAGCCAGACATTCCATGAGACCTCCTGTCTGTTGTGGTACAGGGAGGGACCCCAGGCCTATGAAATTATGTCACATCCTCTGAGCCTTCTGAGGAGGCCCCCAGACAGGACATGTGTGAAGCAGCTTGGAGGTGGGATACTTTGGCTGCTGGGCCCATGTCCGCAGCCACCGAGATGATCGGGTGCAGGGAGCCCTTGGGCGGGGGCGGCCTCTGACTCAGCACAGCACACAGCAGCGGGCACTAGTGTGAGAGCAGCAGCAGCGCAGCCTAGGACAGCAGGGGTTGCTCCCTGACCCAGACACTAGGACAGCTGAGAGGGAGAGGGACAGGAGAGAGAAAACCAATCCTGCCAACCCTTATAGGTGTTGTGACGCAGTCAGCCATGCTGGCCCTGACAACCCCCAGATTTGGGGAGGGTCCTGGCTGTGAGGGACATGAGGGGAGACAGCCCAGCAGTGGTGCCTGGCATGAGAATTTACACTTCACAACTAGCAAGGTGGGTGTGTAAAGGATTAAGAACATTATTTAGTTATTATACCTATGAATGGCTTCATCCAAATTCTTATGCCTTTTGGCTCACATTAAATACCCATGCTTTCTAACTTATACCACCCAGGTAGTTTGTTAGGCTGGTATGGTTTACTGATGTTTTGTGTTTTGCCTGCCAATAAGTCTGAAATCCTAGCCCCTCTGTCTCTCTGCCTTGCAGGAGGGAGCTATCCTACTTTGGGGTGAAGGTTGCTTTGATTGAACCTGGTTTCTTCAAGACTGCTGTGACCAGTCCTAAGATACTCTCTAAAACTGCCAAGGATGTGTGGGAGAGGGCCAGCTCAGAGGTCAAGCAGATCTATGGCGAGAAGTTTCTGGCATCCTGTGAGTGAGCTGTGGGCAGTGTGGAGAGAAGGAAACCCTTGTCAGGAATCCCACATCCATCACTAATGTGTCCCTCAGAGGTCTATCCTCCTGACAGGGGTTCAGAGAAGTTCAGCCTCTTGCAGAAAGTGGGAACCTGTAGCCTCATTTCCATGGTGGGTGCTCAGAGTCAATCAGTCACATGAAGCAAGTGTCCATGCTTATGGAAAATTGGGACCGGTATCTACCTGAACTCCTCATTATTTGAAGAGTGAAGGAAAGCAAGAGAGAGAAGACATCCATGGTCTCAGAGCCAGCTGGCATTTCAGGTGACACAGGAGAGACAGCTGGCTCCAGGTGCTCAGATTTCTAGTATTGGTGGACTCTTGCCATTGTGCAGTCCAGATTTCCCAAGAAAACTGGCAGAGATGTGTTAGTGTGCAGCAATTCTTCATGGGTTAAGCATGGGGCCCTCTTCAGGGAGTTTGCATGGATGATTTGGGCCATTGCCTTAGAGGGGCCATCAGATTATAGAAACTTTCCACTCTGAAGTTGAACCAAAAGCAGAAGCAATTGCAGGTGGACCTATTTATGGGTGTTTTCTCTTTGTGTACAGACATGAAATTAACAGAACGAATAGAAGGAAGATTAACACATGATCTGTCCCTGGTGACGGACTGCATGGAGCATGCGCTGACCGCCTGCCACCCCCGCACCCGCTACTCAGCTGGCTGGGATGCCAAGCTCCTCTACCTCCCCATGAGCTACATGCCCACCTTCCTGGTGGATGCCATCCTCACCTGGGGCTTTACAAGGCCGGCCAAAGCTGTATGAAACCAAGACCGGGGTGCATGGTTGCAGGGCATTGGCTGCTCCGTGAGGGAGGGGTACATCAGCAGGAGGGTTGTAGGCTGGGGGAGGGAGCTCTCCTGCCAGCAGTACACCTGTCCCACCTCTTCCTCTTCCTCTCCAAAGGGTCCTGTGGGCTATTACCCAACACCCTGGTGATATCAGGAGCAAAGAGTTCTTCTGCTGAGGAGTGGGAACCCACCTGCACTTATTGGTGTCCTGTTGGCGTGAGTGGCCACTCAAGCCTTGAATCTCTTAAGTCCGGAGGATTCCACAGAATTGTCCAGGGTTGAGCAGGTGGAAGCAGGCTCAGTCCACACCTGCTCTGCATTGTGCCTAGCCCCTGAGGTGTGCACTCACCTGGCCAGTGTGTGCCCTCCCCCAGGATGGAAATGTCCTGGGGAAGCAGGAGCACCCCTGCTCTGATGACACCTGAGCACATGGGCCGAGGGTGGAAGGACAACCCTCACCCAGACCCCTGTCCCCTCAGCAGCCGGCTCCTCAGGTATTCACTGGAAGGTGGGGTCTTCCCTTGGTATCCTGATGGAAGACACAGAAACCAGTTGTTCATTTGCCTTGAACCCACGGTGTGTGTGGATTTTCTTGTTTTAGAATAAACATTGCTGGTTCACCCAAGCACATTCATTTAAATCATGGCCTTAGGGTTGGGGGGTGCAAACCTAGTGGTGCAAGAGACAGGTGACTTCGTGGAGGTAGAGGGTGAGAGGTAACACCTGAGGAGGGGTTGAAGCGGGCTGGTGGATTATCCCCGAGTTCTCTCTGCTCTTCCTACCAAACAGGCCAGGAGCAGCACTTCCATTTGTCGGGCTTTTCAAGTGGCCTGGTGTCACAGGAATAGACAGAAGGACAGGCAAGCAAGAGGATGGCAATAAGCACTGGCAGGCCCCAGATCCCTTCCCTGGGGCAGCTGAGCCTTCCTGCCCTCACCAGGCTCTGTGTCCTTCAGGAATCAACCCTCATTACAGGTCATGGCAGTTCCCACTGGGCTGTCCCTCATGCCCCAAACCCCACACCCCTCCAACACCCTTCCTATGGCATGGAGTGAGAGTCACCTTTGGACCCCAGTCTCTCAGTTTCTGCTCATTTATGCTAAACACCTGTTGTGTGCTGGGAAAATTCCCAGGAATTCCCTGGGGCTTCCACAGACCTGGCCCTGAGTATTCAAGGTTCTGGGGTTGCTGTGAGTGTGGCCTCAACAGAGAAAGCACTAGGAAAAGGGGACACAGACTCCCAGGCTAAGGTCCCTTTGTAGCTGGGAGGCACTTCCCTGGGTCTTGGTTTTCTTCCCTCAGTGTAACAGCTGAGGACAGGGAGCCTTCAGGGGACCTTGTGCTGTGAGCAGATCCGTGTTGCTTGTGAAAACAGCAAGTGAGCTCAGATTCATGGAAAACTTGAAGTGGGCATTGGTGTGGAGCATGTCAGTGCTGAAGCCATGAAGATGGCCAGGGAGGGTCGTCCTGGAGGACCAAGGCCCTGAAAGCTGTAGGGTCAGGCCACTGAGTGTCCTTCCACTGAGTGCTCCCCCACTCAAAAGCAAAACCACAATTTTTCATGCAATATGAAGCCACGAGACTTTTGTTTTGTTTTCATAATTCTTTCTATACTCACAGACACACACATACACAGACACATCAGGAAAGCAAACTGAAATGAATTAAGAGGCTGGGATTCACTTGATAGCTCACTGGGGAGTTGTTTAGGAGGTTGGACTCACCCCCTGGGGTGCTCTCTAGAGCGTGTGAGAGCTGTGAGGGTGCAAACCCCTGGCCCTCCATGCTGGGCTACACTTGGGGGTCACCTGCACCGAGGCTTCACCTCTGGCCCACGTCATGGACTATGACTCAAAGTGGTCACCTTTGTCATGAGGGAACAATCATGGCCATGAATAAAGTCTAATGTAAAGCAGACATGTCCACCCCCCACCTTACCTCAGCACAACCTCCCTTTCCCTTCCCTCCTGCCACCTTTGTCAGCAAAGGAGCCAGTCTCAGTCCCGTGGAGATGTTCAGGGACTGGACCCAATTGTGCAGAGTCCCCAGGTGCCACCAAAGCTGACTTCACTCGGTCCCTTTGGTACCCTGGTCCTCTCTGAGGAGCACAGGGCTATGTGGTCCGCAGCAGAAACTGTCCTCACCTCCAACCACCTGAAAACCAATGCCTGCAGGGCATGTCGCCCTTGCTTTCTGAGACCCACGCTAGCCTAGGGAGGGGCTGCAGGCAGGACACAGGTTTTAACATGAAGACCAAGGCCCCATGTTTCCAGCTTTGCTTTTCCTTTCCTACACCATCTCTTCTTCAGGAGACCAGTCCCGAATGGAGAAGGGCCAAGGGCTAGAGCCAGTGGTCACCAGAAGGCTGAACTGGGCTCTCCTGGGGGACTGATCCCAGCAGGAGTCCACATGCAGAGACTGCATGGCGCCAGGAGGTGACACCAGTCCATCAGGACAGGCAGGAGCTCAGAAGTGTGGCCCTGGAGCCTGGCCAAATTCCTCTCCCAGGAGTGCTGAGGTTGTCATTGTCAAAGGGCTTTTGGAGGGATCTCAGTGAAAGGACTCAGGGAACATGAATCTCCACACTATCCACGGGGTCCAAAGAATTCCCCGTTCTGCCCAAGTGTCCAGTGGAGGCCGTGTCCCTCCCTCTGACTGTTCCCTTGGGACTCCTCAGATTGTTGCTGACTCTGCAGTGGACTAGGAGGCTCCTGTCACCCCAGCAAAGGGTCACACTGCCATCAGTATGAGCAAGGGTCAGCAGTAGGTGTGAGGACTGGGAAATGTGTCTGTCCATGGCCATTGAGAATTCATGTTTGAAGGAAGTAGAAGTCCCCGAGAAGATTCGTGGTGTGTGATCCAGCATGGGAGGGCCCAGAGCAGGAGGGCAGAGGGCAGTGTACTCACCACCCAGGGCTGGGCAAAGTGTGTCTGCAGGAGGTGAACAGTAAACTCGGTGACACCTGCTTGTTTGCGTCATTCCTCTGCTCCCTCCCAGCAACTCTGGGGAGGTTTATTCCTGTGGGATCCTAGTCCCGTTCCCTTTCTATTCCCTTTCTTGCCACTGAGGTCTGACTGCCCCTTGGACATCTCATACTCCTTCTTCCCAGAAACTATCCTAGCAGGAGGGGACCTCTCTGTTTTGCCTTCTCCTTCCAATACTAGAGAGACTGGCAATGACTTGGTTTCCTGAGTGATTCTGGGTGCTGACCTGATGTGGAAACCCAGACTCAGAGAAGGATTTCAAACTAATGTGACTTCAATCCTGGTGTAGCTTCTGAGCACAACTGTCTCTTCTCTGAGCAGCCCAGGATGTCACTGTACGAGATGTGCAGAGACAGTTCTGGCCCTCCAGGTTAGATGGGGTGCTATGTGTGCAATGGTGTGCATGTGTGTGCACTGGTATGGAGACCTGTGTGGACGCTCATGTGTGGGCCTGTGTGGACACCTGTGTGGGCAGAGTGACATCGGTGGACTACGGAGGCATTGCTGAGCAGTAAAATTTTCTTATGGGGCAGAACAGGAGGTTTTTCAAGGGTCTGTCTGTATCAGAACTTGCAACACCAGTGCCAAGAGCAGAGAGTTGGAGTGAGGAAAGTGAAGACTCCCTTCCAGAGTGCCTAGAGGCTTCCCTGACAACTGCCACCCTCTGTGTTTTTTAGTCCTCCTGTCTAAATACTACCCATAGTCTACTTGTACCCTACTCTGTGTGTGTCTGTCTCCCCAATAACATATGGCTGTACCTGGCTGTCCTCGTGGGCCTGTACTACCTTGTGCGCTGGTACCGGGAGAGGCAGGTGGTGAGCCACCTCCGAGACAAGTACGTCTTCATCATGGGCTATGTCTCTGGCTTCGGGAACCTGCTGGCCAGACAGCTGGACATGCGGGGCATGAGGGTGCTGGCTGCGTGTAGGACAGAAAAGGCGGTCGAGCAGCTGAGAGCCCAGATGTCAGACAGGCTAGAGACAGTGACTCTGGATGTCACCAAGACAGACAGCATCACTGCAGCCGCCCAGTGGGTAAAGGAACGTGGTAGAGACAGAGGTGCCCCCAAGATTCCTCTTTGTGTCTCTTTCCTATCTCTCTGGGAAGGGTAAACACTTTGTCTGTTAACTGGGAAGAGTCCCAAGATGTCTGGATTTTCAAGGACTGTGAGCTCTGTGTTTTCTGGAGCAGAAGTCCTAGAATGAATGAGCCTGAGCCACAGGGTCAGAGGAGCACAGCCTGTGTTTAGGGTCGACTCTCTGCAGGCAGGTTGTGCCCTTGAGCTAGACCTTGAGCCTGGCATGGGATAGTGGGGGCCTGGGCCAGGCTGGATCCAGGCTCATGATCTCAGCATTTCTTACTGGTTCCTCACACTTGTCCCCCCGAGGGCTCTGAGATTATCTGTCCTCACTTGACTCATGAGGATGGAGGCTTAGAGCACTGAAGGGACTTCGTATGAAATACTCAGTGATAATTCCTGTTCTTGTGCTACATTGCACTGCCTGTTCTTTTTGTGAAAACGGAGATGATGGATTTCTTTGTTTTCATCAGAAATGTAAAACATGTGAAACTGTCATTCTCTAGCGTAAAAAAAAAAGAAAAAAAAAAGAAATGTAAAACATGCTCATAGAGGAAAATGTAGAAGAGGATAAAGGTAAAACAACATTCATGGTAATCCCACCCTCCAGAGTTAATAACTCTCTACCTCATGTATACTGGGATCAGCTTTATACCATCCAATCTCTTCCAAAATGTAATATTCAACATCTGCATATCATTCTGAGAGAATATAATTTATTTAAGCAGTCCTATGTTGTTGGATGCTGAACTTAGTTTCCCACTTTTCCTGGCATAAATAACATCTCAGCAAAGATTCTGTAATATGGTTTGTTCACATGTTTAGCAATGTTAGTCAAGTAAAATAATTGGATCAAAGAATACTCATTTCTTAAAGGCCATGAATGGTTTCTGTGTGGGGTAAGGACTCATATTCCAAGGCCTTATTCTCTTTCCAATATTCCTGCATTCAAACTCTGTCTAACTGCACCCCTGGGCCTAGCCCAGGAAAAACCCTGGCCCTACTGAGCTTCGGTCTGTAGGTGGGGAAGTCAGGCTATTTCAAATCCTCCATGTCATGTTTTTGTTCCTGCATATCTTGCACACAGTCTTCATGAGGGCTAAGTGGGCTGGGGCGCCGTGAGGTGATGTCAAGGGTGGACTTTGGGGAGAGTGGAAGGAATGTTGACACGGCCTGGGGCCAAGGGTGCCATCTGGACACTGGAGTGTCCTGAGACCTCCTCCCTGTCTGTCCTGTGTGTCCACTCCATGGTGAGCTTTGGAATACCCAGGTAGAGATGGTCAACTTTGCTTCCTGAGCAAATATTGCCTCAAAAGTGGTGCAGGTTGCTCTTCCGCCGCCATCTTAAGCCCGGCTCCGAACGCCCCGCCGCCGCCGCCGCCGCCGCGACCCGCTCCGCGCCGCACCCCGCTCCGCGCGCCGCCCCCGCTCCGCGCGCCCGCACCCCGCTCCGCGCGCCCGCACCCCGCGCCCGCCGACAGCGCCGCCGCCGCCATGGAGGACATGAAGGAGTACAGCAACATCGAGGAGTTCGCAGAGGGCTCCAAGATCAACGCGAGCGAGAACCAGCAGGATGACGGTAAAATGTTTATTGGAGGCTTGAGCTGGGATACGAGCAAGAAAGATCTGACCGAGTATTTGTCTCGATTCGGGGAAGTTGTAGACTGCACGATTAAGACAGATCCAGTCACGGGAAGATCTAGAGGATTCGGATTTGTGCTGTTCAAAGATGCTGCTAGTGTTGATAAGGTTTTGGAACTGAAAGAACACAAACTCGATGGCAAATTGATAGATCCCAAAAGGGCCAAAGCTTTAAAAGGGAAAGAGCCCCCTAAAAAGGTTTTTGTGGGTGGATTGAGCCCAGATACTTCTGAAGAACAGATTAAAGAACATTTTGGAGCCTTTGGAGAGATTGAAAATATTGAACTTCCCATGGATACAAAAACAAATGAAAGAAGAAGATTTTGCTTTGTCACATACACAGATGAAGAGCCATTGAAGAAATTGTTAGAAAGCAGATACCATCAAATTGGTTCTGGGAAGTGTGAAATCAAAGTTGCACAACCCAAAGAAGTATATAGGCAGCAACAGCAGCAACAAAAAGGGGGAAGAGGCGCTGCAGCCAGTGGATGAGGTGGTACTAGGGGTAGAGGCCGAGGTCAGGGCCAAAACTGGAACCAAGGATTTAATAACTATTATGATCAAGGATATGGAAATTACAATAGTGCCTATGGTGTTGATCAAAATTATAGTGGCTATGGCGGATATGATTATACTGGGTATAACTATGGGAACTATGGATAAGGACAGGGATATGCAGACTACAGTGGCCAACAGAGCACTTATGGCAAGGCATCTCGAGGGGGTGGCAATCACCAAAACAATTACCAGCCATACTAAAGGAGGACATTGGAGAAAACAGGAAGGGATGCTAACCCATCTTGCAGGACGACTTTGAAGATTGGTCTTCTGTTGATCTAAGATGATTATTTTGTAAAAGACTTTCTAGTGTACAAGACACAACTGTGTCCAACTGTATATAACTGCCAATTAGTTTTCTTTGTTTTTACTTTGTCCTTTGCTATCTGTGTTACGACTCAATGTGGATTTGTGTTTATATATATTTTATTTGTATGATTTCATGTTAAACCGCAAATAAATGCTTCCTTATGTGATTGTTTTTCTGCGTCAGGTACTACATAGCTCTGTAAAAATGTACTATTTAAATCAGCAATAATTAAAGCACAGTTTATTTTGAAGGGAGTATTGATCCCAAGGGAGACATTGTGGTCCCTTACAAGTAGCCAGCCACTTCGTCACCCTGTTCCCCAATTGGTAGGTGTATTTTGTGTTTTTAAGGCTTCTTCTCCCTGTTAACTGGTGTTTCCATCACACCTTTGAATAGCATTCTTTCCCCTGTGGATATCTGAAGACACTGTTATGAGACTGTCATAGTATTGTGATTAATGGAAGCTTTCTAGTAGACCATGTGTCTTCTGGACTGTATTTTTAAGAAAAGTACCCTTTGAAACACAAAGATAGTAGCTCCTTTTACTTTGTTCCTGTCTCTGGAAAGCCATTTTTAGTTGCTAATTATTTTGGCTTTAGAGTTAAATCAGTGGTCTGCTAGAAAAAGCTTCAGCTAATACAGCGCCATGACTATAATTCTGATAAAAAATGCAGATATCCAGAGGACAAAGCTCTGTCAAACTGTACGAGCTACAGTTTAAGAGCGTTGGAAGTAGTTAAAACACAAGGCTTTGGCAGATAAGTAGGTATGAGATTATCCACTGAAGTTAGACTAAAGTTTGAAGTAGAGGCAGAATAACTGATTTAGTTGTATTCTGTTGGTATGTCAGCCACCACAACACTAAAAGTATTTTCCATTTGGGCATTCTTAGGAAAAGTTTGTATTACAGTTAACTGTTATGCTGTGTAAGTTAGAAAAAGTCATGATAGTAAATCTCATTTTTAATGCAGTTAGTGCATGAGCAAAGTAGTTAAGTATTTCCATATTCAGACATAGGAAGGAATAGTGGACAAGGTATCTTAAGGCTTAGGTGTGTGAATGTTGATCCAAGTGTGACTGAGTCATTATAGCGGATCTTCTGATGTGTTGAAAAACATCTAGGCTTTAGAAAGACCTGGGTAAATAAAAGCTTTGAATTTTGCCTTCAGTGTCGTTACTTGGATTCAGGGAAGCTTGTTTCCCTGTTAGCTGCTGGGATTGGCATACATGTTCACATGCAGAGTAGCTTATCTCAACCAGTGTGGACTTTTCTTTTTTAATTTGGTGCCTATAATTCACGTTGTTCCACTGATGTTTGCACTTCTGGGCTATGAAGTTACAATGCTCTCGGTGTTTTTTGCTCCTGTTTTGCTATTTGAGCTTACACCCAGGCCAAGGACCAGTGTTGGCTATTGCAGGGGGTTGTGTTTACTTTCTGAATCACACACGGCTTTACGGAATGGAAAGGGAGTTCATTTAAGTTGTGTTGTCAGTAGGTGCAGTGTCTAGGGTAGCGAATCCTGTAAATTCAAATTTATGATTAGGTGACAAGTTGACATGGAGATTGTCCTTTTCCCTGATCAAACATGAATAAAGACTTTTTAAACAACAACAACAAAAAAAGTGGTGCAGGTTGCATCACAGCCTGTCCCCAGATATCCAAAGGGGGCCTGTTCTGTAAGCTCCAAGTCTGGATTTTAAGTGTGTCTCTCCCAACCAGGTTATAGAAAATAATTATTCATGGGTCTTTTTGTCTTTCCCTTTTATTCTTCCTCTTCTCCGCTTTTCCCTTTACTTCTTTTACACTATTCCTCTTTTACTGTCTCTGTCTCTTTCCCCTCATGAGATATTTGATGAGCATTCACTCTATTTTCTAACCTATGTTCATGCACTTAACAAAGTTGGGTTTATTGCATGCTGGTTTCCAGGAACTGGGAGCAGAGATGATAGGACCATTCTTAACTTCTAATACCTTGAAGAATATGGAAACCCTGATACCCTCCCCCGAGTCTTTTCCCCATACCAAGTAGCACATTCTTCTTGACTCCATAAATAAACTCAACTGGAATGTGAACTTGAACCCTAGCTCGATCCCCACCACACATACACAATACAGTGTTGCTGTCTTAATTTCCCACTGTCCCCAGGACTCTGGAGCCTGATGAATAATGCCGGCATCTCCTTCTCCTCGGCCCCCAATAAGTGGCTGACCAAACGAGACTTTGTGACCATACTGGACGTGAACCTGCTGGGGATGATCGAGGTGACTCTGAGCCTGCTGCCCTTAGTGAGGAAGGTGAGGGGCCATGTGGTCAACGTCTCCAGTGTGGCGGGTAGATTGTCCCTTGTAGGTGGCAGCTACAGCATCTCCAAGTTCGGTGTAGAGGCCTTCTCAGATTCCCTCAGGTACTGCCCTGGGATAGGGCCATGCCTGAGTCCTCCTGTTCCTGGGCTTCTGTGGGAGCATTTTACGGGGTGTTGATTTAATTACACCTTTAGAGGCAATCTCTCTCTTTGGCCCTATCCCTTTCTGGATTTAGCCAGTTAATCCTTGGGACCTGCTGTCCTTGTTCTAGTAGAGAGATAGGCCCCAGGCCTAAAAATTATGTCACATCCTCTGAGCCTTCTGAGGAGGCCCCCAGACAGGACATGTGTGAAGCAGATGGGAAGTGGGATAATTGGCTGCTGGGCCCATGTCCGCAGCCACCGAGATGCTCGGGTGCAGGGAGCCCTTGAGGGGCGGGGGCGGCCTCTGACTCAGCACAGCACACAGCAGCGGGCACTAGTGTGAGAGCAGCAGCAGCGCAGCCTAGGACAGCAGGGGTTGCTCCCTGACCCAGACACTAGGACAGCTGAGAGGGAGAGGGACAGGAGAGAGAAAACCATTGTTGCCAACCCTGATAGGGGTTGTGACTAAGTCAGCCATGCTCACTCTGACAGCCCCCAGATTTGGGGAGGGTCCTGGCTGTGAGGTCTAAGCTGAGAACTGAAGTCTGGCACCTGCTAAGGAGGTGTAGACAGGGTTCCTGATGGCAGGAAAGCTTGAACCCCGGACCAGGTGAGAGTCGGCTGACCACCCGTGCTGCAGTGTCTTCCTGGGCCAAAGGACAAGGCCAGGACAGGTGTAGGGAGCTGGGCAGGTGGGCAGGAGTGGGCTGTGGGGACCTATTGGCCTCAGACACTTGCCAAACTTCATGCTGTTGGCTGTGGAACCTATGGGGGGATGTACTGAAGGTGGCTGATTGGTGTAACAGGCATCTGGACACCCATGGGCTGCAGGGAGCAGAACGGCTGTGCGTGTGGGGAGCCCAGACTGAAGGCAGAGGGATGCTCCCCAGAAGACAGCCCCAGCAGCCCCGCTGACAGATGGCCAGGGAGTCACAGGGCAGAAGAGGGAGGAAGGGGACCGAGGAGCATAGAGGGTAAAATGGGTGAATCCTGGTGATGCTCTGGATGTGAGGGGCGAGGGGGAGATAGCCCAGTGGTGGTGCCTGGCAGCTGATTCCAGGGCATTCAGAGCCAGTGAGCTCTGTGTGTAAAGTATGTCATCCCTACACACAGGCAATGCCATCGTCACAATTGTTGCCGGACTTCTGCTGCACTTCCCAACATGCCAAGCTTTCTGGCTTATCCTACCACCATCCTGTGTTGAATCTTGTTTGGTTTTATTTGTTTCTTGTGTTTCATCTCCTAGACCTCTGAACTCCTTGCACTCGGCCTGTCTGTGTTGCAGGAGGGAGCTCGCCCCTTTGGGGTGAAGGTGGCTGTAGTTCAGCCTGGTACCTTCAAGACGAACATGACCAACACTGAGAGAGTTTTTCTGCAGGTCCAGGAGGTGTGGGACCGGGCCCCACCCGAGATCAAGGAGCTCTATGGCGAGAAGTTTCTGGCATCCTGTGAGTGCACTGTGCACAGTTAAAGAAGTAAACTGGGACATCATTAGTGCCTCCAACACCGTGAGGGTCTGTCTTTCTGACGGGTAGGGGAGAGAGGCAAGTTCAGCCTTGCCACAAAGTGGGGACCTTCAGCCCCGCTCCCAAAGTGCCGTGTGGTCAACAGGTCACCTACAGAAAAAATCCAGTCTCACCAAAATTGGAACCACTGTTTCACCTGGTCCCCTCATTATTTTGAAGGGGAAACTAAAGACAGAAGGGGAAGATATCATGGACTCATGGCCAGCTGGGTTTGGAGATGGCTGGTTTTCCTACGCTTAGACTCAGTTAGCAGAGACCTTCAATTTATGGGATCCCGATATTCCCAGGATGAGAGGCAGCAGGTGGCTTAGTGTGGACCAGGTGTCCCTGGGATAAGGATTGGCCTTATGGTTCCCTGGGGAACCTGCATTGATTATATTTGAGGCACATCTCTGTGGGGACTCAGGAATTCTTAGGAACTTTCCTCCTAACTTAGAGCCATGATAGGGAGGAGAGGGATGTTTCCACTCCATTAAGGCTGTTTTCTCATCTTGAACAGACCTCAAATTACTATCTGAACACCTTTTGGCAATATGCAATGAGAATCTGTCGGAGGTGACAGACTGCATGGAGCATGCGCTGACAACCTGCCACCCCCGCACCCGCTACTCAGCTGGCTGGGACGCCAAACTCTTCTACCTCCCCATGAGCTACATGCCCACCTTCCTGGTGGACGCCATCCTCACCTAGGGCCTCCCAAGCCTGGCCAAAGCCCTGTGACGCCGGGACTGTGGCACTTGTTTGGGTGGGGTTGTATTCTGTGAGGGGGTGTTTCTCCTAGGGAGAGGAAATAGAGTGGAAGGTGAGAACTCTCATGTCAGCAGGTCACCTGTCGTACCTCTGTCCTCACCTCTGGTCGTGATGGGTGAGGGGTGATGTGTCACAGTATGGGAAATAGAGAGGTGGGAGGGAGCTCTCAAGTCTGCCGGGTCATGTTTCTCACCCTCTTCCTCACATCTGCCCTAAGCTTTTCCTGCGACATTAGGCAGGACTCTGGGGATGTTAGGAGAAAAGAACCACATTTGCAGCTTAGGAAGGGAGACCCAGTCACATATATTGGCATCTTATTTCTTTAGGCTGTCACTCAAGTCTCTGACCTCAGGACTCACATGCCACCCTAAGGAATGCACACTTTGGGGAGGGCAGGAGCAACTGGGGTGAATGGGTCAGCCCACAGCTGCTCTGCCTCCTGTCCCCCTCATCAAGCTATGCCTTGCCTGGGCAGTCTACACCCTCCTACAGGATGGAAATTGCCCCAAGAGGAGGGCTCCCTCCTCTGGAGGTACCTGTGCACATGGGGTGGGAATGGGGAGGGCAACCACCAACCTGACCCATCAGGCCTCAGGGCCAACTCAGCACGGAGACCTGTCATCTGAGAGTGGCAGGCATTCCTAGCCCTGGGAGGGAAAGCCCTGCAAGGAGTCCCAGAGGCTTCACACCGCCACTTCTATGGCCTGTATTTTCAGTTTCAGGCCAGGGGAACACTGCCTTGGCCAGCAGTAAACAGAGAGGCCCAGGAGGTGCTGAGTCAGGCCCAGGCCTATATTGGGGCAGTTCTGAGTCATCTCTACCCAGGTCCAGAGCCTACTTCTGGATTTTACCTGTGTCCTCAAGAACTAGGATACCCACTGCTCCTGTGCCTGCTTAGCCCCCGAGTGATACGGTCTGACTTCTCCCAGCCAAGACTTCCCTCTTCACTCAGAAGGCAGAGACTGTGAGGTGCTTCTCAGATCCAGTATAGGACGGGCTCTGCCTCAGGGTGGCATGAAGTAAGGTTTGCCTTCCACCCATGCCTGCCTCCTTCCCCTATGGGCTTTGGGTCTGCTCTTAAGGGATGGGTCCATGGTCTGACCACTCCCAACCCCCACCCCAAACACTCTTAGAACAGAACAGCCAAGCTCTGCTGGGCTTTCCGAGGGTGACACCTGCTTTATCTGATTCTGGGGCTGGCCAGACTGAGTAAACAGTGGAGCACAGAGATGCATCTTTTGTCCCTTCACTCTAGGGACCTCTGTGGCCCCATTTCTGTGTCAGACCTTTTAAAGTAAGAAGGTATGGGCTGGTGACCAGGCTCCTGAGGAATAGTGATGCTGGAGGTTGATCCATGGCAGCACACTAGGCTCCAGCATCATCCTGTCCCTGCATCCCAGGCAGTTCTGGGTGTGGTCCCTCACGAAATCACACCTTCATCTCGTTTCCTCATTTCCTTTCCTTCACTACCTTCCCCCCTACCTTTCTGTGACTTCTTTGCCCAGTTGCCTGGAATCTCTCCTTCTTCTCCAAGTCCTGACCCTGAGAATGTTCTAAGTCTCTGGCCCTAATTCTCTGCTCCTCCTATATCTCATCCTCTCCCAGAGCCAAGGACTCTGCCCAGGCCCTTCCCTCTGCTGCCCTGTGAGCACATGAGTCCCGCATCATTTCGCTGGGCACTCCTCACTGGTGATCCAAGCGTCCCCCCTGAAGGCGTCAGGCCCAAGTCGCTCAAGTCCTTTTACTTTTGGGGAGTTGGGGGCCTCACATCACCAGCCTCCCCTATAGGAGGACCCTGCTGCCTCTACCTCAGGACGATGGAGGCACATCCACCAGGAGGAAATTCTTCGTTTCTCATTCTCTTTCATCATGGAGACTTACCTAAGAATTCCAAAACGCTGCTGACCTGTAACTTGTTTCTCTTGGGGTTTGGAAAGCACAGAATCAATTTTTTGTTTGTTTGTTTGTTGCGTTAATAAATTTGTCTTAATTTTTTTCCCTGAAAATAAAAATTAAATTTATTTACATGCCTGTATGACAAATGATTTTGATCCCTGGGCCAGGGGTGTAGCTGGGATGGGGTGGGGCTGGGATGGGGAGTTTCCAGGGGGGCTCTCTGGGCTGAGTCCTCCTTTCTCATTTGCCCCTCTTACACCACAGGGTGAGCCACCTGTCATCACCAATATTGCCACTGGGGATTTTCCTACTCTTGGCCCCTTTACCCATCAGGGCAGGGGGAGAGAAGGAGGCAGCCACCAGCACTGTCAGAGGTGACAAGGCTTCAGGTTGGACTTGAATTTCTTGCATCTGGGCTAATTGGTATGGTGATGCATCCACCTATAGAAATTACACAGTGGCTCACCCAGAGGCCCCGCATCTGTTGCAAACAGTGGGAGGGAGAAGAGCTCTTCTTCCCCGTGGGTTCCAGCAGACTGCCGACTGGGGCTCAGAGGACCAGCCTCTACTGCTGACTCCTGAGCCCAGTCCTTCCGGGCCATCACTTTCCTCCTGCCCTATGGCGGCTCTCACGGACCTCTCCTTTATGTACCGCTGGTTCAAGAACTGCAATCTGGTCCGCAACCTCTCAGAGAAATATGTCTTCATCACGGGCTGTGACTCTGGCTTCGGGAACCTGCTGGCCAGACAGCTGGTTGATCGGGGCATGCGGGTACTGGCTGCTTGCTTCACTGAGGAGGGGGCCCAGAAACTTCAGCAGGATACCTCCTATCGGCTGCAGACCACCCTACTGGATGTCACCAAGACTGAGAGCATCCGGGCAGCAGCCCAGTGGGTGAGGGACCAAGTGGGCGAGCAAGGTGGGGCTAATTGCATTCTTTGGCTTTCTCCATTTCTCCTTCTTTCTCTCTCTCTCTCTACCAAAGCATCTGATACTATGAGGGACCCTGATGTCCAGAAGAGGTGGGAGAGGTGATGTGGGAAAAGGGGCTGAGGCTCTGGCTCAGTCGTATTGGAAGCCACTGCATGGTTTGGCCTGTTCATGTGAGGAGTTGATTTCCCAAAGAAGTTTTCTCTCCTGGAAACTCAGAGGAACAGGGAAGAGGTTGACCTAGGAGGTGAGGGAGGATAGATGTATTCTGTATGTCCAAACCTCTAAAGATGGAAGTGTCTCTCTGAGATTTCAGGAATCCTAACCATCAACTCCTATAGGAATACAAAACCCATTTCTTGTGGGGATTAGACCAGTGGGAGGGGGAAGCGGTGAGAGGTGGGATCCCAGGAGTGCATTTGCTCTCCTTAACTGTGTCAGGCAGGGGAGAGAGAGATCTCTTCCTCACATCACAGTAGATGTTGGTTTCACTTCAGGACAAATGTCTATGTCAGAATGGCTGATCCTATTGGGAAGAGAGGCTGCGGACTAGGGCTGGACCAGGACTACATGGGGACCTGCCCCACAAACTTGCAGCACACAGGGTGTGGGTACAGGAACAGGAGGAACAGGACGGCTGGGTTGCAGAAGCAGCAGCCTGGGGGAAGTCCTTACTCCTACAGGAACTAGTCTGGGGTCCGCACATAGGCATGGGCAGCAGAGCCCTGGAGCCAGGAGGAAAACATATGTTGAATGAACTAATTATTGAATAATTCATCAAGAGTGAGCCTCTTTCTTCAACAGGCTGCCTTGGCCGGCACCCTTAATTCATCCTTGAGCCATTTGAATTAATGACTCATGGGCTATGTGAGTTTCCTATTGCTGCCGTAACAAATTAACACAAATGGAGTGGTTCACAGCAACGCGAAGTTATTATCCTTTAGTTCTGGAGGAGAGAAGTCCCAAATGGATCTCACTGGGCTAAAATCAAGGTGTCAGCAGAGCTGTGGTTTCTTCTGGATGCCCTAGGGGAGAATCCATTTCCTTGCCTTTTCCAGTTTATAGAGGAGGCCACATTACCTGGCTCAGGGCCCACTTCCTCCAACTACAAGGCCAGCAAGGTTGGGCTGAGTCTTTTTCATGCTTTTTCCAGTTCGCTGACTTCTGCCTCTATCTTTCCCTTAAAATGACCTTTGCAATTATATTGTACTCACCAGGCTTATCAGGATAATCTCTCCTACTTAGCAGTCAGTTGATTAGCAACCTTTGTTCCATCTATAATCTTAATTCCCCTTTCCCATGTAACCCACCTTGTTCACAGATTCCAGAAATTAGGATGGGAATATCTTTAGAGGACCATTATTCTGCCCAGGCCCCTGGACAACATCCTTGGTGGGAACTGGGGGGTGTGGGGATGTGGAGGAGGGAAGTCCGGAGAGAGGAAGTGATTTGTCCAAGGCTGGACAGGACTGGAGCTGAGGCTCTTCAACCCTGGGCCCCTGCAGAGTGGAATGACAACACTTAGCATCATTTTTCTCCATTTATACCACTTAAATATCTTGAACAGAGCCCTTATCACATTTTCTGTAAGTATTTTATTTAAATGTTTTATATATTTATTTATAATTATTATTATTTACTCTCTGGTTTGTGAGCTCCTTGCAGGATAAAACCCCATGTTGTTCATTTTCTGTCTCCCTTGCTCTGTAATTGGCACAGAGTAAATGCATGAATGAATGAAATGTGTATCTGAGAAATGCAGTTGGTTACACTGAGGTGAATAGGGAGGGGAAGCGTGACATGGTAAGGGACTCTAACATTAATCCATTGCTATAAAAATGATATCTCTTATCCCAGAGCTAGTAGCTTAGGTGCTATTAGCTAAAGCCTGGATTGTAGCTGGTACAGAGCCCCAGCTGGCTTGCAGCCTTTCTGTGAATCAGGAAAAAGAGCCTCTTGGGGGAAAACTAATTAGCAAAAGGCACACCTTCCTTCAGGCTATTATAGCTCCTCACCCCAGGCCCCATGCCCGGCAGTTTTGTGTCTTGTGCACCTGTCCAATCATCCTTGGTGGCCCTGTCCAATCATCCTTGGTGGCCCTGAGCCGGTGCAGAGTGGACCCTGGTGCTTTCCCAGAGACGCTGCTGATTTCTGTATGGTTCTCTCTCCCTCCATGTTGCCCCCAGGCCTCTGGGCCCTGGTGAACAATGCTGGTGTGGGCCTGCCCAGTGGGCCCAATGAATGGATGACCAAGGAGGACTTTGTGAAAGTGATCAATGTGAACCTGGTGGGACTGATCGAAGTGACCCTTCACATGCTGCCCATGGTCAAGAGAGCCCGGGGCAGGGTCGTCAACATGTCCAGCTCTGGTGGTCGTGTCGCAGTCATTGGTGGTGGCTACTGCGTCTCCAAGTTTGGCGTGGAGGCCTTCTCTGACAGCATCAGGTGACTGGTCCCTGGTACCAAACCACTGTCGGGGGAATCCCAGGGAATTCACCCCAGGAAGAGAGGGCTGGGATGACGGTATGTGGGCAGGGGAGTCCTGCAGGCAGGAAGCTAAAAAGAAAACAGTAGCAGAAGAAAGGTTAGAGCTCAAGGGGCCTTCCCCAAGGACCAAGAGAAGAAGGGATGAGGAGAAGAGGTGGGGTGGAGATAGGAGGTGTCCAGTGGGCCTTCCCTTGAGCTGCCCCAGAATGGGGGAAACCCTGTGGAAGTAGGAGGGAGAGGCCCCGAAGCAGACAGATAGGCTTGGGGGCAGAAGAGGATACAGGCCTTGTGTAGACCCTTCACTCCTTTTGCCATGTGGGTGTTGGGTGTGGGGCTGAGGCTAGGAGAGGCCTGGTAGAAGGCAAGACCTTGGCCTAGATTCTCACTTGTCTTCCTTCCCCCTGGCTTCACCTGATGCAAATTGCCCAGAAACTGCTGGACCAGTTTGGGAAAGGACCGAGGCCCTAAGGGAGGGCTTATTTGCATGAAAGCAATGCCCTGGCCCAGTGCACGGGTGAGGGAGCATCTCCAGGCTCCTGGGGAGACAGGCCCCTCCAGAGGTGACTCTCACTGATGACTGTCATCGTGGGGCTCAGACTGAGTGCAACTCTTTTTTCTCAGGCGTGAGCTGCACTACTTTGGAGTGAAGGTCAGCATCATTGAGCCCGGGAACTACCGGACATCCATTCTGGGCAACGAGGGCCTGGAGCTGCGCATGCGCAAGCTGTGGGAGCGGCTGCCTCAGGAGACCCGGGAGAGCTACGGCGAGGAGTACTACCGCATCTGTGAGTTCCCGCGCGGGTCTCGGGAGTCATTGACCAGCTTTCAATTTACAGGTGTTGATACGGAGGCTCAGAGGGGTTCATGGCCCAAGGCCACACGGCTAGTGGCAGAGCTGGGGTTTGAAATACGACCAAGTGGCAAAACCGTGGCTGTGGGGGAGATGGGGGAGGTAAGAGATGCTGCCCACTCCTGGCACCTGCTCCCAAAACATCATTATGCAAGTGAATCCGGTGAAAATGCGCTGAGATGAGTCTGCCAACGTGACTAAGAGCATGGCTGCTGGAGCCAGACTGCCTGAGTTCAAATCCTTGCTCTGCCACTGACTGGCTAAGAGACTTTGGGCATATTGCCTAACCACCCTGTGCCTCGGTTTTCTCATCTCTAAAATGGAGCTAATGAGAGTGCCTGCCTCACAGGGTTGCTATGAGGATTAACATGTGTGAAGTATCTTGCCCACTCTGAGTGCTCGTTAAATGAAGAAGAAAATGAGCATGTGGGTATGTAAAAGGGATGGTCTCTAGGCAGCTCCCCTCTGTCCCTGAGCTAAGGGTGTCCTGTGAACCTTAGGTGTTTTGGAAGGGTAGAGGTAGAACATGATAGCTGCTTACCATGCTGCCCCAAAACTTAGTGTAGCAGAAGTGGTCTCCTGGACATCATGTGTATAATGCCATGACATAAAAAAACAACACAGCCATTTCTTCACTTTATACATGTTTTACTGTGAGGCTGCCATGTGCCAGGCACTGTAAGTGCCATGGAGGAGAAACATGGGGCTATGAAAGAAGAGCAGGGCTGTGAGTTAGAGCCCAAATTCAGATTGTGGAGTGGGAGAGAGCTTCTCTGAGTTGACTCTGAGAAAGAATAAGAGTGAGACGTTGCTGGAAAGGGGAAAGTGGGGCTGGGCAGGGACTTTTTTTTGCAGGAAGGCTCTAAGGCAGGAAACTCCTTCTGAGGAATTTTAAAGAAACCAGAAGGTCGGGAGCGATGGGGGATGGTTAGAGGGGGCACAGGATAAATTAGAGCATCAAAGCACACCTAGGATTAAGGATGTGATCTGATTTGTGATTAGAAAAGACCACTTTGGTTGCTGCACTGTCCTAGGCTAGACCAGCCAGTGGTTTGGACTGGAAAGAAGGTAGAGAAGTTGGAAAGAAGTTGATGGATGCCAGGTGTATGTTAGACCTGATGCTATGGAGGTGAGGGAGAGGGAACCCTGAAAGACGAGTGCTAGGTTTAAAGCTCGAGGAACCTGGTGGATGAAGGTATCATTCATTCATTGATTTAGGGAAGCCTCAGGGAAAAATAGCTGTATAAATATTCCTTGGAGGAAGTAATCTTTTAGTTATGGACATGTTAGAATTCCGTGAAGAGAAAATATGTCTGAGGATTTACCTTAGTTGGGTCTTTCTCAATAATGAGTGACAGAAAATCCAACCCAAATTATTTAAACAGAACAGGAATTTCTTGACCCGGATGACTAAAACTTTGAGCCAGATGAGCTTCTAGTACAGCCTGATCCAGCCCAAAAGTGATGTTGTTATGACCTGGTTTCACCCTATGTCTTGGCTCTGCTGCTTTTGTATTGACTCCAGTCTCAGAAGCTCTCTGCCCTGTGGGAATCACGTGGCTGCAGCATCTCTTCACCACATCCTAGGGTGAGGTCTGCTGGACAAAGGGCGAGTCATTTCCAGCAGCTCCCCACAAAGTCCTAATGTTCACTTTGACTTAGAGGGCCTTTGGTGGCTGAATCAGAAGGAACCCAGGATATACCAAAGCCTGAACCAATCACGGTGCCTGCCCAGGGGCATGTGAAAGTCTGGTTGGCTCAGGCTGGGTCATGTGCTCTGCCCCAACCAAAGGACTCAGAATGGGAAAAGCATGGATCCCCAAAGAGAAATTGGCAGCTGCTGGGAACAAGAGGGGTAGATGTTAGCAGGCAGGGAGAATAATATATATCCTCTGTGATTGCTCTAAAACTCCCTTAGCAAAGAGTAGTTGAAATTATTTATGGAGCTTCTATGAGGCTAGAGTGAAACAGACTCAGTCAGTGTCTGGAAACTTCACAAAGTCATTTTCTAAGTAAGTAATCATTGCAGTGAGAGGTTGTAGAGTCTTTAGTGCAGTCTGTGAAAGAGGCCAAGTGCAGTGGCTGATGCCTGTAATCCCAACATTTTGGGAGGCCAAGGCGGGAGGACTGCCTGAGACCAGGAACTTGAGACCAGCCTGGGCAACAGAGCAAGATCTCATCTCTTAACAAGGAATTTTTTAAAAACTTAGTCAGGCATAGTGACACATGCCTATAGTCCTAGCTATTCAGGAGGCTGAGGTAGGAGGATTGCTTGAGCCCAGGAGTTCTGGGCTGCAGTGAGCTATGATTGTGCCACTGCACTCCAGCTTGGGTGACAGAGCGAGACCCTGTCTCTAAAAAAAAGAAAAAGAAAAAGAATATGTACATGTATAAAGGCAAACTTCCTCTGAAAACCACTTGTGAAAAAGCTAGTAATGTTATACTGAAGAGTAGTTAAGGATTGTGGGTTTATAAAATACCATATGCCGATTCATCTGTAGTCCACACCATAATTTCAAAGGAAAATTTTCAGGCAGGTGTCAAGTGTCTTTAGATAAAGCATTTTCCCAAGTAGTTATACTGTAATTTTCACTTCAGTTACCTAGTATTTGCTGGGATACAGAGATGAGACAAAGTCCCTGGGAATCTAGTAGAGGAATACTGAAAGGATATACAGCACCACATGGAGAATTATGCAATAATGACACATGGAAAATTGTGCAATAACGACATTCATACAAACCAAAGCAACAACACAGAGACTTAAATCTGCTGTCACAAAAGCCTCATAGAGGTGACAATGCATTAGTGAGTTTTGAAGGATGAATAGGTGTTCACCAAAATGGAAAGAGATGGTGGGTATTTTGCAAAGAGGAAAGAGCATGAGCAATGCTTTTGAAGACCTTACTTAGTGTTGTATGTTTTGGAGGCAGTGTAGATTCAGGGCTTGGATTCCAATAGTCCTTCTAATCATGTTATACAACTTTCTAAACTTCAGTTTGTAAAGTATAATTCCCCTATAAGCCCAGCTGAGGTGGGAGGATTGTTCAAGCCCAGGAGTTCGAGGCTGCAATGAGCCATGATAAAGCCACTGCACTCTAGTCTGGGTGACAAAGCAAGACCCTGTCTTTGATAAAAAGGAAGAAAAAGGATGAGTGGTGGCTCACACCTGTAATCCTAGCACTTTGGGAGGTCAAGGTGGGAGGATCATTTGAAGCCAAGAGTTCTAGACCAGCCTCAGCAACATAGAGAGGCCCTATCTCTGAAAAAAAAAAAAATTAATTACCTGGGTGTGGTGGTGTGCACCTGTAGTCCCAGCTACTTGGGAGGCTTAGGTGGGAGAATCACTTGAGCCCAAGTGTTTGAGGTTACATCAAGCTATGATCACACCACTGCACTCCAGCCTGGGGTACCTTGCCGTTCTAAAATAAAAGAAGAAAAGAAAGTAAGGGGGGGGGGGGGGGGGGGGGGGAATTCCTTGCATCACAGAATGGTTAGGAAATTAAAGAAATGCAAAATGCAGATACTGGGCCAGGCACAGTGGCTCACACCTGTAATCCTAGCACTCTGGAGCCGAGTGGGAGGATCGCTGAGATCCAGAGTTCAAGCCCACCCTCAGCAAGAGCAAGACCCTATCTCTACTAAAAATAGAAAGAAATTAGCCAGGCAACTAAAATAATATATATCATATATAATTTATATATATATAAAGTATATACGTATGTGCCAGGCGTTGTGGCACACACCTGTAGTCCCAGCTATTCAGGAGGCTGAGGCAGGAGGATCACTTGAGCCCAGCAGTTTGAGGTTGCTGTGAGCTTGGCTGACACCACAGCACTCTAGCCCAGGCAACAGAGTGAGACTGTGTCTCAAAAAAAAAAAAAAAGGCCGGGCACAGTGGCTCACGCCTGTAATCCTAGCACTCTGAGGAGGCGGGCGGATTGCTCAAGGTCAGGCGCGTTTGAAACCAGCCTAAGCAAGAGCAAGACCCCTGTCTCTACTATAAATAGAAGAAATTAATTGGCCAAAATAATATATATAGAAAATATACCCGGCATGGTGGGCGCATGCCTGTAGTCCCATCTACTGGGAGGCTGAGGCAGAAGGATTGCTTGAGCCCAGGAGTTTGAGGTTGCTGTGAGCTAGGCTGATGCCACGGCACTCACTCTATCCTGGGCAACAAAGCAAGACTCTGTCTTAAAAATAATAATAAAAATAAATAAAAAAAGAAAAGAAAGAAATGCAAAGTATTCAGCTCATCTACAGTGAGAGTTCAATGTTATTATCACTGGTCTGGCAAGAGTGAAGTGTGGTGGGGATTGAGGTGGGCAGAGATGAGGGATCAGGCCATCCATGGCTTTAATGGCTATACTGAAGAGCGTGGATCTTATTCTGAAGTCACTGGAGAGGCTTTTAAATGGCTCTGAAATGACTGATCAGATTTGTATCACTGTGGGAAGGATCAAGAGGCCAGCTGGGAGGCCACTGAAGAAACACAGAGAAGGAACAATAAAGTCGCAAAGTTATGAGTCGTGGTGGCTATGGGAGGGAGGGGCTGTTGGATAGCCTGGAGAAACATTTAGGGGTGGTCATACTGCACCACTGGACACAAACTCCAGTAAGTGGCTGTGGCCAACCAAACAAGTCCAAACAGTCATTTTCAATTGCACCCAAATTAGAACTATATTGGAAATGGCTAATTAATAGCCAGTGATGTGGACACATTCCCAAAGAAGTGGCATGGAGCATCAGCACGGCAGACGCATGTGCAGTGCAGTACCCTGGTATGATACTAACAGATCTCGGGTTAATGCTCAGCATTGCTCAGGAGAAGCCCAGCCACCTGGCCAAGTTTCTTTTCTTGTCTCAACTCTGCTGTGACGGCCCTCAAAAATTCTCCTTTCAGTCCCTTTCCTCTTGGGGAGGGTCTGCCTCAGAAGCCCAGGACCTGTCCCTGGCAAAGGAGAAGGGGACAGCAACCAACCTACTGACCCTTACAACGTGCCAAAGACTGATACTGTATAGACTTTATCTTGCTTAATTCTTGCTGTATCAAAAATGGTTTCCTAGATGCCCAAAGCCAAAGCCCACGTTCTTACTGTCTCACTGTCGAGGAGAGTGACAGGGCTCAATGGGTACTTCTGTGCCTCTTCCCACTCCGTGCCTAGCATGGTGCCCAGCACTAAATAGCTGCTAGTAAATATTTGAGAGAACAATGAAAGGATGTGCCTCATACCACTTCCCCTGTCTGGGGTAGCGTCTTCTACCCCACCTGTCAGAGCCCAGTCCCTAGGCCACCTCATCGTGTCAGCTTCCCCCCACCTCTCCACCCGCACATGCTCCCTGGCTTTGAGGGAAGCACATAGCCCTGGGCACCCTGAATAATTCCTGTGACACTCACCGCCTGCCTTGGCCCCACTGGTGGTGGACTCCATGCCAGGCTGGAGTTCAGAGGACAGGTGTCTTCCCAGGACATTAATTCTCTACAGACAGTCTGGCTTTAAGCTAGCATGGCTCTTCTGGGGACTCCAAAATATGGTTTGGCTTTTTCCCCACAGCAGTTTTCTCACCAGGAAACAGAAGAGGAATTCCTTAGAGTCTGGAGTAAAGGGGACTTCAGTGACACTGCGCTGCCCTTACAAAACGCCCACTTGGTCCTGACCCCGAGGGGGTAAATTCTCTGCCTGCCTGGACCATTGTTCCCATCAGGAAAGTCTGACTCACAGGTGCCATTTTATCTGGAGTCCTTGAGGCTCGCATTAAAGCATGAATCCCACCAACCCACCCCTGTCCCAGAGTCCTGGGGCAAAGGTGCAGATGAGGGCCAGTAAGTGCATGGTGTGGCCCATCTCCTGTTTGTGTTGTGAGCCTTGGCAGACTTGTATTTAATACCAACCAGGTGCTCTGCACCCATCCTGGCTCCTGTGTGCACAGTGCAAGCAGAACAATCCCTCACATTGGTTAGAGCCCTACAAGGTGCCTGTGTGTGCCTTAGATCATTTGAGCCCTCAGTGGCCTTATGACCAAGAGAGGGGTAGTGTTACTATTTTTTAATAATATTTTCTCCTGCATGCTTTTGTAGAAAATTTGGGAACTCTAGGCAGTACATAGATGAAGAAGAAAAGGCTCCAGTAGCTAGGAATCCCACCAGCCAGACAATATGTTTTACTTCCTTCATTTCAATTTTTTTTTGCACTTGTATACATGTGTTTTCTATCCTGTCCTTCCTCGCCATCTACTTTGCTATTAATCATCTCTGTTATTCTCCAGGACAGGTATTATCTCCATTACAGAAAAGGAGAGTTTAAGCCCAAGGTCATACAACCAATAAGTGGCACAGTTATAAGAAGGACTGGGCACAATTCTTCTTATCGCTAGTCTAATACAATAATAGGAATTGAAAGCACAATTGTTGAATTCAGGAAGAGGAAATAAGATTATTGGTGATAATCTCATAAATGGGTGTTTGTTTACGGGACAACCTGGAGGTTGTGGCAGACCTATCAGAAATGTTAGATCAGGGATGCCATGAAAAAGGAGCTTGGATAGAATTCAGAAGAAACAATCTTTATAAAGAATAACAGAGCCTTTCATTTGTTCCCCGCACCCTCAAACAGATACTGAGAAGTTAACAAACATGATGAGGCAGGCAGAGCCAAGAATCAACGATGTCACCAACAGCATGGAGCACGCTATTGTTTCCCGGAGTCCCCGCATCCGCTACAACCCTGGCCTGGATGCCAAACTCCTGTACATCCCCCTGGCTAAGTTGCCCACCCCTGTAACAGATTTCATCCTGAGCCGATACCTTCCAAGGCCGGCGGACAGCGTCTGAGCTGGGGGAGCTCAAGGGGTGGTTGGTGGAGTGCAGCGGAGGGGGTGGGATAAAGGACTGTGGCATCATAAGAGGTGGTATCAGACATCCTGAGGGTACTGGCTGCAAAAGACGCTTTGCTCAGCTGCCACTCACTGCTGGCAAAGCTACTGGTCCAGCAGAAGGTAACTGCCTCTTCCCACCCGCTGGGGCCCCTTAGAAATCTGAGGTGGCCTTTGTGGGGTCAGAGACCTGCAGCGTGGCCCCAAGGACATGCATCACCCAGTCAGGATATGGCATTTTCTGGGCCTGGAAAGTCAAGGAGAAGGAAACCATCTCCTGCTGAATCATGAGACCCTCTCCGTTGTCACTGCCACTGGGAAACACAGTGGGATAATCTAGCCCCCCGGGGAATCTCCACCACCTTTTTATGGGTCTCTCAACCTATGGGTCTGTGTGCATTAACCCGTTATGTAGTAGGCCAGACAGGGAGGGGCAGGGTCGTATCAGACAAAAGTTTAAAATATTTTCTTTCTCTTTAGATTTCTCTGTCCATAGGTGATTGGGATCCACATGAAGTAACATTCATTTATGTAATCGCCATTTATTCATTCTTCAAAAAATGATTGAATGCTTACTACCTACCAGGCACTGTGTATGTGCTGGGGGGATATAAAGATGATTAAACCATGGTCTTGGTTTTTTTCAACTGTTTATTTTGTGTTTTGTTTTGTTTTAGCACCATATCTAGTAGCAGAGAGAACAAACAGTGATAGAAAGGACAAAAATCAAAAAACAAGGTTTTAAAACTGTGAGGGACCCTGGAGGTCATCATCCAGTAGCTCCCAAACTTGACTGTATGTCATAATCACCCAGTTAATTAAAACTACAGATTTCTGACCCAATGTTAGCAAATCTGATTCAGTAGGCCTGGGATAGGGCCCAGAAATATGTATTTATAAAAAGGCCCTAAACAATTCTGATGCACTGGAGCACTTGCGACCCAATGATAGTTCCATAGAAGTAGTTCCTGCTGCTCGTGGTGGGTGGTGTCCTACGGCGGCTCCTCTTCTTGGTGACGACGAGAGTAGTAGTCCTGTGTTCTTCCTCCTCGCTGATGGGTGTTTTTTTTTGTTGTAGGGTTGTTAATTTCTGGAATTAGTAACATTGCCAAATAAGTCATGGAACTAAATTTTTTTAAAAGCCTTAAACTTCTGGGTCATGTGAAGTTCTGTGAAAAGACGTTTTTGATCTTGATATATAGTCATGTAATGAAAGTCAAATGTGAATTTCTTTTATTAAATGTCTTTAACTTATGTTTCTTCAATATCTGGATGAACTTGGAAAATAATAAAATGTAACTTATTAATAATGTGTCTCTACATTTTTATTCTAACTCAACATGTCCACGGGGGACAAGTCTTTCAAAACCAGCTGGCTTTATCCCTATAGAACCGGCTTTGTGAGGTCTTATTCTGTGATTGCTGCTCCTCCCTAGCATGTTGGGTTTCCCCATTCTCCCATCTTCCCCGCTGCATCTTACATGCCTGCTTGGGTACACAGATACACTGGAAATTTGCTTTCTAGAGCATTCCATCTCTGGCTTCCGTGAGACCACTAACCTATATCTGAGGTGCCCCAGTGAAAGCCCTGGGTGGGGCAGCTGAACATATTCTCCCCCAAGTGCCAAAAATTAGGGGACCCGGCTTACCGATTCAGCCGATTTGTGTTGAAGCACCTACTATGAGCTGGCCCTGTGCTGGACCTGGGGATATGGTGGTCAACATGCCACGGCGCTCACCCTCCAGGATCTTTTGGTGCCTGGGAGCAGACACAAATAAATAAGCACTTCCAACAAAGTCGGATAAGCGTAACAGCGAGAGAAGAACAGGCTGTTATAGGAACGCATATAAGGCATTAGCAATTAGTGTAGACTTGGGGGATCAGAGGGAGAAGGCTTCTTGGAGGGAGTAATGTCTGAACTGAGACTAAGGAATGAGTCAGAACTAGGCAGGCAGCTAGCTGGTTTGCCCTATGCATTATTCATGAATGTTCAAGCCCAGGCACATGGAACTCACCCATTCGCCTTACTTCTAGGTCACCTCCTCTACTTTGCCTCCTTGCCTCGCCCTACCTATGTAATTTGCTATGTGACCTTCCAGGAATGCCAGCTCATATTCACATATTTACATTTATTTGAGCCAGATAGGTTTAGAAAGATAAATATATAGCCATCAAAACAATCCTTGACCCAATAATTGAGAAACAAAATCCCCAAATTCCTGGCAGCTTCTGAGCGTGATATGTTAAACCAGTTGATCAGGCTTTTCTAGAAGAGATTCAGATACCGGCTGGGTTGAACTACATAACCCTGAAATTCTAGTCCTGTGTCTGTTATTGAGCAACTGTGTGATGTTGGCCAAGTTTCGTAACCTCGCTAGGCTCTCTTGTTTTTTACTAGTAAAAGAGAAGGTAAGTCAGTCCCCAGTTGCCTTCCACCTTTAATAAGAAGCAAATCAGGGTTTTTTTACAAAGTTAAATAGAAATGGTTCTTGGACGGGTGGTGCCATAGAAAGCAAACTGAGGTCCTCACTAAAATGAGAAAGATTTCTACCTAAAGTGCCAAGGAAGCGTTTAGGAGTAGAGCTAGCAGGCTTGCAGTCTAACCCCAGCAGCTCTCTTAAGCTCACGCTCCACTCCTCTCATAGCTCTCTTTCCTCCACGAGGTTGAAGAAAGCTTCCATTGTGCCCCTATAGATTGTTCCTACTCATAAATGTTATCGATTGAAGCCAATCAGATCTATTTCTAGGGACAGACAGCAAGGGACACACATCGACTGTTTCATAACCCCAGACTTCCTGCTCTGCCAAGTTTTATTACACTCCTCTCTCTTACTGACCAGCTCTCCTGGAAGAACTCCTGCTTCTAAGTGGGATGAGGCAGTAAGTGAGGTGGACTCACTCCATAGCCCTCTCCACACGTCTATATATGCTACGTGCAAGCTTAAGCCAAACAACTCCAATATAATGACGAGTCCTATTCTGACAAATCCCACAACAGCATGACTCAGAAGTCTTGGCTGAATACAAAGGTCTTCGGTATGCTTAGAGCCAATCCAAAGTTTCCAGTTTCCAGTTTTAGAATAAATGACTTCTTTTTTAACATTCCTGCTGGGATTGGGAGGTGGTGGACCACACTGTGGTTCAGTGTAATCCCAAGGTTCTTGTATGATCCAGGGAGCAGGGGAGGGATGGCCTGGGTGTGAGGTGTGAGGCATTCACACAGAGCAATAGAGAGAGAGAGAGAGAGAGAGAGTGTGTGTGTGTGTGTGTGTGTGTGTGTGCTGAGTACCTGTAGTGTGTGTGGTGTATGTGGTGCATGCGTGTGTGTGGTGTGGCGTAGGTGTGTGTGCAGTGTGTGGATGATGTGTAATACGTGGCCTGTGTGATGTGAGGTAATGTGTGTGTGGTGTAGTATGTGTGGTAAGTGCACATGGTGGGGATGGTCGAGGAGGGCAAGGGATGTCAAGTTGGTTTTCATTTCATTTGGGGAAAATGAAGTATGAATGAATAAGCTATTTGTAACTGACACACAAGGGAATGTTTTCCGCATGAGCTAAGAGGCCACTTGTGCCATTTTGTGAGGGCTCTTGACAACTTGTCCTCTCAGATTGGCATGACCCAGGTGTCACCGCGTGTTGTGGTAAGATGGAGATGTTTATATCTTGCCTCTCAGAGTTGTTTTGAAGATTAAGTGTGTAGTGTCAGCAAAGTGTTTACTCCGGAGCAGGGCACCATGATAAGCTTGGGTTAAACACGACCAGGCCAGTTACTGACCCCCGTATCCTCCACTGTTTACATTTCTGTCTCTACTTATTTTCTCTAAACCGATTCTCCATCAAAGCTATGGCCCCATAATTTATTTTTAATTTGCCTCTGGAGTAGGCTTTTAAAATTCCAAGTCATTTTTATCTACTTGATCATTACATATATCAAACCACTGCACTTCTCTCATTCCAGCTAAATCAAAATGGCTTGCAAACCCCAAAACATGATATGAGCTGTGTTTTCTCTGTATCATTCACCTGCTTTAAGAAAGGTTGTGGGCCGGGCGCGGTGGCTCACGCCTGTAATCCTAGTACTCTGGGAGGCCGGGGTAGGAGGATCACTCAAGGTCAAGAGTTCAAAACCAGCCTGAGCAAGAGCAAGACCCCGTCTCTACTAAAAATAGAAAGAAATTAATTGGACAACTAAAAGTACATAGAAAAAATTAGCCGGGCATGGTGGCGCATGCCTGTAGTCCCATCTACTTGGGAGGCTGAGGCAGAAGGATTGCTTGAGCCTGGGAGTTTGAGGTTGCTGTGAGCTAGGTTGACGTCACAGCACTCTAGCCCGGGCAACAAAGTGAGACTCAAAAAAAAAAAAAAAAAAGAAAAAGAAAGGTGTGGGAGAGATGTGGGAGGCTAGAACGTATGCACCACTTCCATAAGCAGGATCACAGCTCAGGTTAGGGTCAACCTCACCTTTCCTTTTCTGCCCTGGAGATTGAAGCCTATCCTCGACAGCATTTCTAGAAGGGGAAGACAAGTCCTGGAATGTCCCCCTCACTTCTACCAAGCAATCCCCATTAGTTCTTCAAGGCTTCCTTTAAGCACCATCTCCTCCAAGCAGCCTTCCCTGAACCCTCTCATGTAGGTGACTGTCCTCTCAGCTCCCATACTCTTCCTCAGAACACACTGTGCTCCCTGAGGGCAGGGGATATTGTTTTTCATTTCTGTGTCCTCAACCCCATAGCACAGTGCTCTGCTCTTAGGAATTGCTCAGTGGTGTTTGTGGGATGAATGGATGTCACACAGTTATTTGCTTCCTGAAGGAAAGGTGTATTTGTCGGGCATATTTTCCCCTTATAGCAACGTTGTTCATGTTGTTCCTGAGCACACAGCAAAGGAAGTGTTTGATTATACATTTAGTAAACCTCACCTGTGCTATAGATCCTGGGTCTCATCTGTTTTTCTCATATTACCATTTACCTTTAAACAAATGAACAAACAAGCAACACACACACACACACACACACACACACACAAGC